AAAACATTCCCCCAACACAAAATACCAAAATTACATGCATTCGTTAAATCCGTACAAATTAGAACCAGGGGATGGAGGTTCAGCGGTGCCTGCACGTAAAAGTTTTGATGCAGGAAAGCTGGGCAGAAAAGCGCTGGCTGCCCGGGCAGCTCTAGAACACCGCCATCATGTGGTGGCTAAGTGTAACTGCGACCACCCAGTAACAATCAATTAAGCTGCGGTTAACCGCAGCTACTGGGTGGTCAATTGCCGGCACACGCTCGTTAAGCCTCGGTTAACCGCGGCTTTAGGGAGGTAAATGGAGGGCGCACTCCAGCTTCTGGGTGGCCAATTAAGGTCGCCGGCCGGCTTCCCACGGCTCTGGGGAGGCTGAAAAGAAACTGTTTGTTCGGTAGATAGAATCTACCGAACGGCTGTGCAGAAAGGGAGAAATAAATCCTTCTGCACAGTAAAATTAACCCTTTAGCTGCCGGTCCATAATCCAAAGGCAGCAGGTGGGCAACCAGGCTCTTCCAATGCAATGTGGCGAGATTGGTCTCGTCACAATATATTTAAAAAAATAATAATAATAAAAAAAATATATATATATATCCCAACGGATCTGATGGGGAATGTCCGGGGAAAGAGCTCACGGATAGAAACATAGAAACATAGACACATAGAATGTGACGGCAGATAAGAACCATTCGGCCCATCTAGTCTGCCCAATTTTCTAAATACTTTCATTAGTCCCTAGTCTTATCTTATAGTTAGGATAGCCTTATGCCTATCCCACGTATGCTTAAACTCCTTTACTGTGTTAACATCTACCACTTCAGCTGGAAGGCTATTCCATGCATCCACTACCCTCTCAGTAAAGTAATACTTCCTGATATTATTTTTAAACCTTTGTCCCTCTAATTTAAGACTATGTCCTCTTGTTGTGGTAGTTTTTCTTCTTTTGTCTAGGGCTGTCTGGACAATCCATCAGCATTGCCATTCTGCTTACCCGGTCGGTAGTGGATGGTAAAGTCATATGGTTGTAGGGCCAGGCTCCACCGGAGCAGCCTGGCCTTGTCCCCTGTGACCTGGTTCAGCCAGACCAACAGGTTGTGATTCGTGAGCAGGGTGAATTGCTGTCCATATAGATAGGGTTGCACCACCGCTAGGCACTCCTTCTCAATGGCGCGTAGCTTAACTCCCTGGGCAGCAGCTTCCTGTTGAGGTAAACCACGGGGTGTTCTCCACCATCATCCCCGACCTGGCTCAGCACTGCTTCTAATCCAAACATGGAGGCATCTGTGTGAACAAGAAAGCGTTTTCTGGGATTAAGAGCAGCCAGGACAGGGGCATTGGTATAGTCCTGGAGGCCATCTAGCAGCCGGTCCACCATCCGTTGGAAGGTGGCTGGGGCTTTCGTCATCCCAAATGGCATTACCTTAAACTGGTACACACCAAAGGGGGTGACAAAGGCGGACTTGGGGACAGCATCCACTGATAACGGGATCTGCCATTATCCCTTGAATAGGTCAATGGTGGTGAGGTATCGGCCCCAAGTCATTCTGTCAAGCAGCTCTTCTATGCAGGTCATGGGTTAGGCATCAGAGACCGTCTTGTTGTTGAGCCTCCTGTAGTCCACACAGAGCCTGGTAGTCCCATCTTTCTTATGGACTAGGACTACTGGGGAGGCCCAAGGGCTTGTGGATGGTTCGATCTCTTGGATCTCCTGTAGCATGCTCCCCCGCACAGCCTCCGGCACCCGCAAATGGCAGCGACATCCTCTGTCCGCTCGTGGTACGGCTTAAGCATGTTCACAGGTGTCGGACTCCAGTACCAGAGCATGGGCCGATCACATAGGTAGTGTCCTCTTTCTATTCCATTACCCGGTATGGGCCTTGCCAGGCAGCCTGTAGCCAGTCATGTCGGACGGGTTTCAGCACCAAGACCTTCTGCCCGACTTGAAAGCTATGGCCCCTGGCACCCCGATCGTACCATGTGCACTGGCACCTCTGAGATGCTTGGAGGTTCCCTCGCACAAGATGGGTGAGTTCCTCCAGCCGTCCCCTAAACTCCAGCATATATGGAATGATGGGGGTCCCTTCCTGTTCTCTGGCTCCCTCCCAGTGCTCCCGCACTAGATCCAGGGGTTCCCTCACTCAATCCAGTTGATTCCTGCAGCACCTCCCCCCCAATCCTTGTGAGTCGCTGCAAAGGTACGGAGCATTTGCTTCAATGTACCGTTGAAGCGCTCACACAGGCCATTGGTCTGGGGGTGGTAAGGGGAGCTCAAGATTGGTTTAATGCCGCCCAGCCTCCACAGTTGGTGGGTCATTTTGGGTCATTTTGGCAGTAAACTGCACCCAGGGAAATCTCCCAGGGAAACCCCATCCGGGAGAACACTCGCATCAGGGCTTCGGCCACAGTCTCTGCCCGAATATTGCTCAGGGCGACTGCCTCGGGGTACCGAGTCGTGTAGTCCACAATGGTCAGAATGTAATTCTTCCCAGAGGGACTAGGCTTGATTAGGGGACCTATGATGTCGATAGCTACTCTGCCGAATGGATCTTCGATAATAGGTAGGGGATGGAGGGAGGACCTGTGCCGGTCCCCCTGCTTCCCCACTCTCTGGCAGACATCGCAGGTCTGGCAGTATTGCCTCAGATTCTGGGAGATGCCGGGCCAAAAGAAGCTTTGGGTGAGCCGAGCTGCTGTCTGTCTTCTGCCCAAATGCCCTGCCAAGGGGATATCGTGAGCTAGCTTCAGCAGCTCATACCGATACTTCTTGGGTGCCACCAGCTGCTTGGTGGTAGTAGGGGCTGTAGATGATTCCTTCCTCACCGCTATATGGTATAACTGCCCCCCTTCCCAGGTGTACTGCTCCCCCTCTTTCCCTACCTCCCCTGTGGTGGATTTGTCCCTGTAACATTGCAGGGTTAGAGGCTATATCCCTTGGGGGTGAAAAAGGGCACGGGTGCCTACCTGAGCCTCAAAGTGTGAGCTGACCGGGGTGGTCTGGGCTTGCTGGCGGGTCACCACTGGTAGGCTTCTTCCTGGGTCTGAATGGAGAGAAAAGCAGTGGCAAGGTGTCCCAGGTCGTTGCCGAGTAGTACCTCAGTGGGCAGCCGGTCCATGAGACCCACTTTGATTCTCTGGGTTCCAGCGCCCCAGGTGGATGTGGGAAGTGGGTATATAGTGGACGTTCCCTCCGGCCACTCAGCTCACTACCGTACCTCCTGTCTGTTCTTCTTCCGGAAGCAGCTGTGGATGCACCAGCGTCAGCGTGGCTCCTGTGTCTTGGAGCCCCTGGACCTTGTGCCCATTCAGCCGTACGGTCTGTCTGTAGTGGTTCCGGTTATCGTGGGCGGCCTGAACAGGGCTGACCTCATGCAGGATTGTCCAGGCTTCTTCGTCTGAGTTCTGGAACTCTGTGGGGTCATTCTGGTAGCACAGTGCTGTGGCTCGTGGGTTGGTAGGGACTACGGGGGTGACCCACTGCAACCTGCCCTGGTTTTTTGGGGCAGTTGAGTTTGCGGTGGCCAGGCTGGTTACATTGGAAGCAGCCTAGGGTAGACTCTCGAGGAGGGTGCTCGGACCGGGGGTCCACGGAGAGGAATTGTGGCCACGGGGTTGGGCCAGACCAACGGTCGAATGGCTGGTCGATAGAACTGGACACTGGGGCCGTCGGGTGTCGAGATATTCATCGGCCCGCTAAGCCACCTCGGAGAGGGTCTAGGGCTGTTGGTCTCTCACCCATTCTCTGACTTTATTAGGGTGTCCGTTATAAAAATGTTCCAGAATGAAGAGCTGGGTGATCTCCTCTGGGGACTTAGCCTATTGTTATTTATTGGCTGTTTTGCAAAACCCTGTGGGCAGTTATGTGTGCAAAATGTGCATAAAAGCAGAGTGTTTGATTAAAAGCTTCAGTTCTACTTCACCCTCAATTTGGAGTGCCGTCTCTTATTGGGGGAATATGCGACAAGGGATTGCTATGCTCTGCATATTCCCTTGCTATAATCACTCCTAAGCTTTTTTAAGAGCTTGTTCCTGCTTCTCTCTGAAGGAGTCTATGGTGGTTATGGTGTCGGCTGGAGTGCTTGGAGCCCTCAGGAAGCGCTAGGAGCATCCATCAACGGAGATACCCAGTCGGGGTGCCGTTGATCCGTTACAAATACTAACAGGACACAGGGATACGCATGAGTACACTTCACATACAAGGGTGTGAACTTTGGGGCTAGGCTCCCCGGGATGGAAAGGGGGTCCCCTTCCTGTAATACACTCTGCCCCTGGGAAGAGAGACCGATTGTCTCTTCTACTAATAATAGCCCCGGGTGCCAATTGGGATCCCTGCAAAAAGTGGGGAGATCTGATGTACAGAGCCAGAGATATCTGCATCGGAAGTCTGGGGTTCATGGCTCTGTACATCCCCGAAAGTAGTTCTATGGTGTTGCTTGATTAAAACCGGTGAATTCAAACTTCGCGCCTAAACCAATCAACAGCCAATCAGCTGAAAGGGCGTGAACCAAATTGCGCCAATCAGCGTTCAGGAGAGGAAGGAGTTTCGCTGCCCAATCCGAAGGAAGTGCGCGAAACTCGGCTGCACCAATCAGTGTTCAGGGAGGAAGGGCGAGAAACCCGAATACACAAATCCACTGAAAGGCGCGAAACCAATGTGCGCCAATCAGCAACCAGGGACAAATGGGGTTTTGGCCGCCCAATCAGAGAAAAGGGCGCGAAACCCTGTTTGAACCCCCTTTGATTGGTTGCCCGCTCCTTGTGGCGACCATTCGGCACTTTACTTGTGCCAACCAACCAGGAGAATGGTGCAAACCCAGTTTGAATGGGCGCTCCTTCTCCCATTAGTCAGCACAGACTTCCATGCAGCCAGCGGGAACCCTGCAGCCGTGAGACAGGCTCACAGCTCCAGGGACTCCCTGTTGGTGCACGTCTCTCTCTCCAATGGATAGCCACATTCAGGCATCCGCCGGAGAGAGCGTTCTCCTGGGCAGCCACGAGCCTAGCCTCATGGCTGCCAGGTAGGGAACAAGGAGTGGGTAGGACGTAAGCCGGTTTGGGAGATGAATGCTCCCCCTGGTGGGTGTCCGTCAATATGAACCGGTGGCCATTCCCTTGAGGTCTGCGGTCTTCACACCTCATCAGAGAAGTGAGAACGTTCTAATTGGGGGATCAGGGTGGTCCGCCACTGTTCGGGATACGAATGCTCCCCCTGGTGGGCGTTCGGTAATACAAACAGGCGGCCACCCAAGGGAAGCACTCGCCGCTCATTCTCTGGCGGTCTGTGGTTTTCACACCTCATTAGGGAGGTGTGAAGATTCGGAGTAAATGTTCTAACTGAGGTGCCGGGATGGTCCGGCGCACTGGGCACCACGCACCAGAGCGCCCCAGGCCAGTCAAAAGGTATATTGCATGATTTTATAGTCACAATTATAGAAAAAAGAATAGGAAAGAGGGGAAACACACTAGTAGGACAACTACACACAAAGAAAACAAGGCAATTCACAGTTTAGGCAATTCCACCACAGAGAAGGGCTACTAAACTGGTTCATGGATTGCGGGATAAACTTACCAGGAAATGTTAAAGGATCTTAACATGTATAGCTTGGAGGAAAGACGAGACAGGGGGGATATGATAGAAACATTTAAATATATAAAGGGAATCAACACAGTAAAGGAGGAGACTATATTTAAAAGAAGAAAAACTACCACAACAAGAGGACATAGTCTTAAATTAGAGGGACAAAGGTTTAAAAAAAATATCAGGAAGTATTACTTTACTGAGAGGGTAGTGGATGCACGGAATAGCCTTCCAGCTCAAGTGGTAGAGGTTAACACAGTAAAGGAGTTTAAGCATGCGTGGGATAGGCATAAGGCTATCCTAACTATAAGATAAGGCTAGGGACTAATGAAAGTATTTAGAAAATTGGGCAGACTAGATGGGCCGAATGGTTCTTATCTGCCGTCACATTCTATGTTTCTATGTTTCTATGGTATAATACCCACTTATGGGATACGTTACGGAGTGTTGTAAGTAGATATCTTGTTAGATGGGGGCCATATGTAATATAAAAAAACAACAATAGTGCTCACTGTGATAAAACCAGGAGAATGTATAAAAATACTGTGTTGGACCGCCTGGCACCCCGACTAGGTGCCTCCGCCAATTGCTGCTTCCTAGTGGCCTGGAGTACTATAAGCACCGCACCGGACACCATATGCACCATCCCTTCCCACCCTGGACCAAACGCCTGGATCCAGCTCCCAGTGGGAAGGCCTCTCCTCCAAGAGAGTATAGCTGTGAAGCTCTTACAAGCGCTAGTGGTTATAGCAATCCAAAAGAACAATCCCAGGAACAGGGATTATAGCTGGTATATAGCTGTTATCTACAATCACGAGACGAGGCTGCGTGTTGAGGGTGAAGTGGACTGATTTATTAGTAGCCATGCTGGCCTCTTATGCAAGTCCCCATGCAAGGGGTACTCCCACATGGACCTTGTGGGGAACTACGTTACAAAGTCACAGACCAAAAACAACAAGGTTTAAATGCATGACACTCCCATATACAAACATACAATCCCTCACCTCTGCCTGGGAGATAATTGAGTCAGATACTGTATTAACTCAATTATCTTCAGGCACAAAAACACATATTTAAAAAAATAAATAAAAAAAAATAAAACTAAAAGTACCTTTAAAACTCATGGAAACCCCATAAAAACCCCATATCCCTTGATAGCCCTGATCTGGGTTAACCACATATCCAAAAATCACCCAGATCGGTTAAGGGGTTCAGGATTTCCATGGAGGTCTTATTTTAACCGACCGCACACAAAATTACTGTCGGAAAAGAGTTCCAGGAAATCAGGCTGTGTGGTTGGTCTACTTCGTTGATTCAAAGTAGAATATAAAATACAGAACGTATAGCTTCGGGAGTAGGTTCAGTTTATGTCATTTGGGAGTTTATTCTTACCGAATGCTGTTCGATTCCCATTCGAATAGCCGAACATTAGTGGAAGGTATGTGTTTAGCGGTGTTTGCACCGTCGAGAGTCCGATTTGAGTTCCATGTACTCTGTAACAGCACCCCCAGGCATAAAAGGGGTTAAACCGCCATTTAGAGGATATTCCCCTTCCAGGTATACAGGCAGCTACCAAAGACACCAATCCGCCGAATAGGAAAAACCATACGAATAGGTTTACACTCCTAGCAGTCGAACTGGAACAGCATACAATAAACCCCCCAAGAATGAGACAAGGCTCTGTTTTGAGGGTCAAGCAGGAACAGACAGAGCTGGGGGTTTATTGTTCTTATATACACATTCTTACACATTAGTACCACCCACAGGGTTTTGTAAAACAACCAATAAACACGTACAATACACTCAGACACTCCAAAACAAAATCCTCCCCTCTGCCTGTGATACAATTACCTTACACAATGGGTAATGTAATTATCACAGGCAGAGAAATACAGTTTTTCCACATTATTCATAATTCTAAAAGTATGCATCACATTCAAATATAACTTACATTTTCAGAATCACACACATACAGTTCAATTGCCATGGAGCCAAAGTCTTTCCCATAGTCTTTCATTATACGAATGGGCTCCATGGCATAGCTATCTGGGGTATCACCGCTCAAACGGGGCAAGCACCGAATGACCCGGCTTTCGTGTCTTTGCAGGGGAAAATCAAGCATTTCAACATGGGGCCATAGTCTAAAGGGAGCAGGCGGGCAACCAGGCTCTCCAATGCAATGTGGCGAGATTGCTCTTGTTGCATACTCGACAACCAAACACCGCTCATTGTGTTCGCAGCTTAAGATGGCCGCCGCTTCGAACCACTTTGAGAGTTCGAAGTGTAACTATACAAGTCTAAAAGGCACAAACAGTGTCTTTAACCAAAGTCTATTACAGGGGCCCTAGTCACATAGTCACAGGGCAGGAGGCCGGCAAACAGGCTCTTCCAAAAGCCAGTGGCGAGGTTACTTTCACCACAAATACTAAATGGTTGCTCACATTTAATTAGGCAGATGCACTGATTAATGATAGGGCGTTGTGGCAAAAGTAACCTCGCCACTGGTTTTTGGAGGAGCCTGTTTGCCCCTGCAATAGAACTGGCTAACATACTTCAAACAGGCTCTGTTCGTGCAATTGGGACTATATGGTTAATTTACCGAACAACCGCACGAACAGAGACCACCCTGGAGCTTGTTCACACCTATTAACAACTTGGAACGTTTCTCACCGCAGTGTTCTAATTGTTTGTCTGGGTGGGCGCGATTCCTATGAACAACCACCAAGAAATTTTCTAAAATCACCACCACTCCATGGAATCTTGCATTTTGGGCATGAATCTCATGGAACTGAAATCGGATACAGAAACCCCCGAACACCGCTGGACTTCCATCATCGCCTGTGTTCATTTCTATTCAACTTAGAAGGGCATTGTTTGATCATTCGTCAGGATGAAGGGAACAAGCTCCAGCATAAGACTATTAACTCTGTTTGGTAGTTTGTTCGTTTGCAAACTACCGAACTAGAAAGGCAGCAAGCCCTGATTCTCTGGAATTGTTTTGGGAATTAAACTATGCGTGTGGCTGGTCAAAAAGAGACTTCCAGGAATTTCTGTAACCCCTGCTCTCATCTGGGTGATTTTTGGATATGTTGTTCACCCAGACCAGGGCTATCAGTGGAAGTAATTTATGGGGATATGTTGTGTTTTGTGGTACTTATGGCACTTTATAAAATATGTGGTTTTCCTACCTGGAGATAATTGAGTTACATACAGTACTTTACTCAATTATCTCACAGGCAGAGGGGAGGGATTGTGTGTTTGCTATGGGAGTGTGCTACATTTAATTACTGTTCAGATTGGTTTGTAAGCTTTGTGTCTCTGTCCCCAACAAAGTCCATGTGGGTGTATCTCTTGCTTGGGGACTTGCATAAGAGGCCATTGTGGCTTCCATTAAACCAGACTTACTTCACCCTCAATCTAGAGTTCTGTCTCTTATTGTAGGGAACTGCTATACAAATATCACTACTAGCTCTTTAAGAGATTCACAGCTACACTCTCCTGGAGGAGAGGCCTTCCCACTGAGTCCCTGGATCCAGGAGTTTGGTACAGGGTGGGAAGGGATGGCGAGACCCCAGCCAAGCTACGGTGGTTCGTGGGGTCTATGGTGCTTATAGTGTCCGTAGTGGTGCTTATGGTCCTCAGCGTCAGCTAGGAAACGGTCCTTGGTGGAGGTTCCCAGCCGGGGTACAGGCGTAAGTGGTATAATCCCCACCAAGGATGCTTTGGAGTAGTATCTCTCTGGAACAAGTAAAACTCAGATGCAAGGTAGTAAAATAATAAAAATGGTAAAAAAAGATAAAATGGCTAACTCATAACAAAGCAAGTGGCCAACATGCCTTTATTAAAATAGATAGTTAACATTTCCACAATGCGTTTATCCTCTTAGGACTTTTTTAAAGTTAATAAGAACATGTACCTGACAACAGTGGCTTTATATAGGCCTCAGATTACTTAATTTTGGCGCCAAAATGACGTCATGGTCACTTTTTTTTTTTTTAAATAACTTTATTATAGAACATGTATCAGCCATGTTAGGGATGGCAATAAAAAAGAGTAAAATGAGGGGAACAGCCATACTGGAAGAGGAAAGAGATAAGGAGAAACAAGATAAATGAGGTGAGCACTTGGGAAATAGTGATCACAATATAGTGTCCTTTGAAATAAACTCAAAAAAACAAAAGCACATGGGGAATATTAAAACATATAATTTTAAAAAGACCAATTTCAATAAGTTAAGGGAAGCTTTACAATATATTGACTGGCATAAACTCTTTAGTGAAAAGAACACTGAGGATAAATGGATCATCTTCCAACAAATATTACAAAGGTACATTTCTCAGTATGTACCATTGGGAAATAAATATAAAAGAAACAAATTAAAACCAATGTGGCTTAGTAGAGAAGTAAAACAAGAGATTAAAAATAAGAAAAGGGCATTTAAAGCATTTAAATCGGACAAATCAGATGCATCTTATAAAAGATATAAGGATGCAAATAATGCGTGCAAAAAGGCAATTAGACTTGCTAAACTTCAAAATGAAATAATGATAGCTGAAGAGAGCAAAACCAACCCCAAAGCATTCTTTAAGTACATAAATTCTAAAAACAAAACAAAATGAAAGTGTAGGTACACTAAAAACTGAAACAGGGTGTTAGTTAATGAAGACCAGGAAAAGGCAGGAATTTTAAAAAACTATTTCTCCTCCGTATATATTAAGGAAGAACCCATGGCAATAGATGTGCAAATGCTTGCTACTAAAAACTTGCAGAATAATTGTAATTGGTTAACTCAAGACAAGGTGCTGCAGCAACTAAAGAAAGTTAATATAAACAAAGCTCCAGGGCCTGACGGTATCCATCCACGTGTACTTAAGGAACTAAGTGCAGAAATAAGTGAACCTCTGTTTTTAATCTTTCAAGATTCTTTTCTTTCAGGAAGTGTTCCGGAGGATTGGAGGAAGGCAGATGTGGTTCCTATATTCAAAAAGGGTTCAAAATCCTTGCCTGGAAATTATAGACCTGTGAGCTTAACTTCTGTGGCTGGTAAAATATTTGAAAGGTTATTAAGGGATAATATTCAAGAATTCCTTGAGAAGAACATGGTTATCAGCAAAATCAGCATGGTTTTATGAAGCACAGGTCATGTCAAACTAACTTGATTGCGTTCTACGAAGAAGTAAGTAGAAGTATAGATCAGGGTGTTGCCGTGGATGTGATCTATTTGGATTTTGCCAAGGCATTTGATACAGTTCCACACAATAGATTAATGTTCAAACTCAAGGAAATCGGTCTAGATGAAAATGCTTGTTCTTGGGTAGAACATTGGCTTAAAAACAGAGTACAAAGAGTTGTCATTAATGGTAAATTTTCAAGCTGGAGAGAGGTGTCAAGTGGTGTCCCTCAGGGGTCTGTTCTGGGACCCCTTCTATTTAACATGTTTATAAATGATCTTGAAGACCGCATTGAAAGTCATGTTTCAGTGTTTGCAGTACAATGTGAGCAAGATATTACTTTGCTGCAGAGGGATTTAGATAGACTGGGGGACTGGGCACTCAAATGGCAGATGAAATTTAATGTTGAAAAATGCAAAGTTATGCACTTCGGCGTAAAGAATACACAAGCAACGTATACCCTTAATGGAAGCGAATTAGGGATAACAACACATGAAAAGGACTTGGGAATTGTTATAGACAACAAACTATGCAACAATGTGCAATGTCAATCAGCAGTGGCCAAGGCCAGTAAGGTATTGTCATGCATGAAAAAGGGCATTCATTCTCGGGACAAGAATATAATTTTGCCTCTTTATAAATCACTGGTAAGACCCCATATTGAATATGCTGTGCAATTTTGGGCACCTGTTCTAAAGAAGGATATTATGGCACTAGAAAAAGTGCAGAGGCGGGCTACAAAATTAATAAAAGGAATGGAACATATCGGCTATGAAGAAAAGGTTAACAAATTTAAACCTATTTAGTTTAGAAAAACGTCGCCTGAGAGGGGATATGATAACATTGTAACGGATCACCTGGCACCCCGACTGGGTACCTCCGTTGAAAGATGCTCCTAGCACTTCCAGAGGACTCCAAGCACTCCACCAGACACCATAAGCACCGCAGGCTGCAGCTATCTCCCTTCAGAACGAAGCAGGAACAAGCTCTTACAAGAGCTCAGTGAATATAGCAAGGGAATATGCCTAGCATAGCAATCCCTTGTAGCAGATTCCCCCAATAAGAGACAGGACTCAAGTTGAGGGTAAAAATAGAACTCTCTGGCTGCTAGCTTGCAGCCCTTTTATTAGGTGCTCCCATGAAGGGGAGGGACACACACAGTAACGCACATTAACCAATCACACAATAGTTACATCCCACACATAGCCCTCCCCTCTACCTGTAAACTAATTATCTGTACACACAGGGAAATACAATTATCATAGGTAGGGAAAATACAGTTTTTACACAACATTCATAACTCCAAAAATATACATCACATTCGCATAAAAATACATATTCACAATCAATCCATTCAGGGGAACAACATATTAAAAAATGGCATGAATCAGACCAGGGGTTCAAAAGTTAGTAAAAGTATCTTTTGTTTCCCCTGGCTCAAACAGTAAAAGTAAAACATCCCCACAATGCATCCTGGCTTCCTCCCTTCTGCCCTGGAGATAATTGGAGAAGGAATCTAATTATCTCCAAAGACAGAGCCAAACTCCATTACCCACATGGCAGACAAAAGACAGTAAAAGACATAAAATTACATACTGACACATTTAGTACATAAAACACACATTTCTACATATCCCCAGATAGCTTGGATCTGACTGCACATTATTCGATGAATGGCACTCAGATCACACGAATAAGCCTTTCTGCAGGGAAAATAAACAGTTTAACCTGCAGGGCCATAGTCCAAAGGCAAGAGGCGGGCAAGCAGCCCCCTCCAAGGACACGTGGCGAGGTCGGTTTCGCCACAAACATTATACAAATATATTCGGGGCCAATACAAACCATTGTGTGGAAATCTATTCACAAACCGGACTTTACATAGGACACGAGGCCATGCGTTTAGACTGGAAGAAAGAAGATTTCGTCTAAGGCAAAGGAAAGGTTTTTTACTGTAAGAACAATCAGGATGTGGAATTCTCTGCCTGAAGAAGTGGTTTTATCAGAGTCCATACAGATGTTCAAACGGCTACTAGATTCATACTTGCAAGAACAGAATATTCAAGGATTTAATCTTTCAATGTAGGGTAATAACTGCTTGATCCAAGGATAAATCTGACTGCCATTCTGGGGTCAAGAAGGATTTTTTTCCTAGCTTGTTGCAAAATTGTGCTTCAAACTGGTTTTTTTTGGCTTCTTTTGGATCAACAGCAAAAAACAAATGTGAGGTAGGCTGAACTTGATGGACGCAAGTCTCTTTTCAGCTATGTAACTATGTAACTATGTAATAAATCAAATAGAAAAAGAGTGAGTGGTGGAGAGAGAGTATAATAAATAACAGCTGATAACAATAATAAACAACAAAAGGGACTAGTAATAAAGTACATAAGGAATAAACCACAAAACAAATATATAAATGAATGAATACATATATTCATATATATAAGACAGATGGGGAACAGGCATGTAGCTGGGTGACAGTGGGGGCGAGTGGAAGGGGGGAAGAGGAAAGGGCTAGCTAGTCTTGATTTGGTGCAACCTAGCAGATTTGCCCATTTGAGGAGCATCAGCTCAGGAGTAGCTGTATTAGAGGAAGCTCTTAGTTCTAACAGCCGAGCTAACAGCCCCCCTAGTACGGGTGGGGATCAAAATGTAAGGAAGGCAAGACAGGTTGTGGTGGTAGGGGGGAGAGCAGATAGGGCAATCTGCCGTTCTGATCAGTCAACCGGACAGTTTGTTGTCTCCCGGGTGCTCGGGTCCGGCATGTTGCTGACAGAGTGGATGGATTATTGGGAGGGGCTGGGGATGACAAAGTAAGAGGAAGATGGAAGGTCCTAAAGAATGATTTCAGGGAATTAGGTAGAAAACGTAAGAAAAGGACCTCCAAGGTGGCATTCTCTGAGATATTACCTGTGCCACGCGCTACAGTGGAAAGGCAGCGGGAGAATAGAGAGGCCAATGCGTGGCTTAAGTCTTGGTGCAGGAAGGAGGGTTTGGGGTTTTTAGAGCACTGGGCCGACTTTGCGATTGGGGACAACCTTTATAGTAGTGATGGATTGCACCTAAACGGGAGAGGGTCTGCAGTGCTGGGAGATAGGATGGCTAGAAGGTTGGAGGAGATTTTAAACTAGTAGTAGGTGGGGATAGCAATCTACAAAATGGAGATAGGACAGAAAGGAGATGAAAAAAAAACAAAACTGGTTTCACTTTCAAACAGATGTAATTTACCTTAAATAATTGTATCTCAATCTCTAAATTGAACTTTAATCACATACAGGAGGCTCTTGCAGGGTCTAGCAAGCTATTAACATAGCAGAGATAAGACAATCTTAATTAAACAGAACTTGCAATAAAGAAAGCCTAAATAGGGCTTTCACATGCCAACTCCTCTTACTGCTTGCCTGTGTCTTGACTTGGAAAATCAGCACATGCCAACTCCTCTTACTGCTTGCCTGTGTCTTAACTGGGAAAATCAGCACATGCCAACTCCTCTTACTGCTTGCCGGTGTCTTAACTGGGAAAATCAGCACATGCCAACTCCTCTGACTGCTTTTCATTGTCTTAAGCAGGGCTTTTGTGCTTGGATAACAGTGACAGTGGGGCGAGGAAGCGGGGGAGGGAAGAGGAAAGGGCTAGCTAGTCCTGATTTGGTGCAACCTAGCAGATTTGCCCATTTGAGGAGCATCAGCTCAGGAGTAGCTGTATTAGAGGAAGCTCTGGAAGGGGTCCTAGTCCTAGCAGAGCCCTAGTCCTAGCAGGGACTCTCCTCCGCTGGTTTCTCCAACATACACTCAGGAACAAATATAATACTTCAAGGGAACAGCCAAACACAGTAAAATAGCCCAGGAATCTCCCACCTCCTCCCCAACAACTGGACGACACTCGGCTCTGGGGGTACATTTTAATGGAGTCACACACAGCCTTTTATGAGAATCCCCATGCAAGGGGTTTCCAAATACATATTCCAGGGGCATTCTCCACTGGACCTAAGAGTAGACTGACACAAAATATACAACATAATTACATTAACTCTCAGGTCCAGGACATGTATAATAATAATCACCCCAAAACATACAGTTCCCCACAAGATACCCCCTTAAGTCCTATATCTCTGGATAGCCTGGGTCTGAGCACCCAACATATCTGAAAAGCGCTCAGATCCCATGAACGCAGCGAAAATGCCACCGGGGTATAGTTTAGATCGATCGCACACAAGGTGCCTGCCCAAAAAGGTTCCATGAAATCAGGCTCAGTCAGTCTCTTTCAGGAGTATCAAATACACAGCATGAACTGTTCGTGCAAACATTCTTTCTGTGTATCGTGTTTGCTCCCCCGAACGCCACTCTGTTCATCTGAATCCTCTGAACATAGCGGAAGGTATAAGTCCCAGCAGTGTTCGCGCCATTGAGTTTCCAATTTTAGTTCCATACACTCGACAACAAAACACCGCTGTCTCTGTTCGTGGATACAGATGGCCGCCGCTACGTGTTCTCACATACGAACGGCGACCACCCAGCCAACCGCTTGGAATTTTCAGGTTATTGCAGTTGGTGGAGGTGTGAACAGAGGTTACTGGGGTTAACGAGCAGCACACTCCACATATGGGTGGTCTGGCGTTCGGTAATTTGTTCGGTTGTCGAACAAGACATTGTTAATATGCCAGGTGACTGCTATTTTACCGAACGGTCAGATGAACAAGAACAAGCTGATCCAGGGACTATGAGCATGAAACATAGAAATAACAGGGGGGGCAAGATACGGACACCCCACAGCAGGAATAAGGTTAACAGTCCAAGGTTCATTCTGCTACACTGCTCCCTTGTGACCACAAGTTGGCATACACAGTCTGATCCTCCACGTATCTGCTTGGGGATGTCCGCGGATGCTCACGGATAATTTTTCCAGTTCGGTCTGTCTAGACAACCTGTCAGCATTTCCATTCTGTTTCTCAGGCTGCAGCCTGGCATTGTCCCCCGCCACTCAGTTCAGCCAGACTAACGCGTTGTGATCCATGAGCAAAGAGAAGGGCTATCTGTAAAATAGGACTGCAACTTTTTCTGGGCCCACACCACGGACAGGCATTCCTTCTCGATGGCAGCGTAGCTTTGTTCTCTTGGTTCTCTGGGTAACAGCTTGCAAGCCATGGGATGTTCTCCGCTATTGGGCCCGACTTGGCTCAGTACTGCCCCCAAACCAAACATAGAAGCATCTGTATGAACGAGAAAGCGTTTAGTTGGATTAGGAGCTGCCAAGACAGGGGCATTTATAAGTGCATGTTTCAATTGTTGGAATGCCTGCTCACAATCCGAGGCACAGACTACTTGACGGGGGAAGGTTTTTACGGTCAGTAAGGGGTTTGGCCAGGGCACTGTAATTGGGCACAAACTTCCTATAGTACTCTGTAGTCCCTAGAAACGTTAGTACTGTGTCTTCATCCTGGGCGTTGGCCACTGGGAGTTTAGTGTGCTCAGGCTTCTGCTGTCCGCATTCCACTCTGTGAAGGAGGTACTGTACCTCATCCATGCCTATATTACACTTGGTGGGCTTAAGGGTCAAGCTCGCTTCACTGTCTAAGAACGATCCTATATTGGCCAAATGCTCCTGCCATGTTTCACTAAAAATGGCGATATTGTTGATATATGCGCAGAGATAGTCTTGGAACCCACGACACTATCTCCCGGGGAATCCCATGCGGGAGAAGATTCGTATCATGGCCTTTGCTTGAAGATTATACCACATCTCAGTCCCACCGCACGCTAGGAGCCGATCCCTCTGAAGCCAGAGAATGAGAGTGGCACCTATCCCACTCTTTCATTGTTCATCAAATGTTTTCTGTATTGTCTATTGTTTAGAATATATACATTCTGCACTAGGTTTGTTTCTCATTGTATTTTAAGCAACTTGGATTTAATAAGCATTTTAAATTTATGTTTCCCCACTAGCTTGTGGGTTTGTTTTTTGGTCTTAGCGGAATATTTCTGCTTAAGTTTTGTGTTGGTTGCATCATTTCTACATAAAGTTTGCACATTGAACACACATTGTTTTTTTCCCCACTGTTTTGGTAATTGGTATTTTTGTACTATAAATACTGTAAGGAAACCTGGTATATCCAATCCTCATTCGGTAGTTTCCTCCCGAACCGCCAGAGCATCAGTGAGTATAGCACTCCGTTCGGTAGTTGAAATAGACGAAATCCATACGAATACAAATAGTTTCATAAGATAATTCCCTTAATAAAGCATACGAATCCCCAAACATCAGCTGAAGTCAAGAAGAAGGGTGCAACAGAACTGGCTTTTAATGACCACACACAGGCTTTTATGCAGGTCCCCATGCAAGGGGACGTCCCACAGGGAGGGACACAGTATAACCAATCAGTTACAGTAAAATCGTAAAACACACCCAGCACACACATACAATTCCCTACCCTAGTCCTGGAGATAATCAAGTCTGATAAAGTAATAACCTGATTATTTTCAGGCAGCAAAATCACAATTTTCTCCAATATTCAGAACACCCCTTTATACATGGGGACAGGGCCGGACTGGGAAAAGAATTAGGCCCGGGCATTTTTCAATCAGAGCGGCCCCCTAAGTAGGGGGCGGGGCTAGAGACAAGCACACCCCCTCTCAAAGTGAGCATGTTGGTTCAATGTGCAGAGCCCTGCTGAAGAGCTCTAGCATTAGAAAAAGGCCCTGTATTTGTTCTGCGCAGCGCAAGCAAATGTAATAACATGCTTGCGCTGTGTTTGCTTTTAAATTGTCTCTGGTGTCTCCACAAGTGGGATACCAGAGGACAAAAGGGCCAGGAAAGTGCATGGTACATGTGTTTGGAGCCTGCTTGTGGGATTGCTTGTGTGTAGAGTGTGGTGTGGTATTGTGTAAATAGGTCAATTTCATTTGTGGTTGTGGTGTAATATGTGTGGCTAGGGGCAGTGTGTGTGTGTAGGATATTTTGTGTGTAAAGGACTCAGAGTGTGTATAGGAGATTGTATGTGCGTGCGTGTGTGTGTGTAGAGGATTAAGACTGCATATAGGGTAAGGGATCTAGCGTGTATCTGGAGCGTAATCAGTGGCGGATCCAGAGCCTGATCTCGGGAGGGGCACTTCTAGATTATTTAAAGAAATAATCCAGACACAATAACAACTACAGCTCAGTGTAGTGGTTATGGTGTCAATAGTGCCGGGACCCCCTCCCAGAGTAAGTAGTCAAACCGTTTAAGAACAGGTTGACAACTTACCTGAGGTCTGCTGGGAAATGGGGCAGTAGTAGGGCATAGGAGCAGTGGTGTGTGTGAGTGGTGCAGTGTGTGTGTGAGGGGGACAGTATGTGCGCAGTGTGTGTGTGAGGGCGGCAGTGTATGTGTGGGACAGTATGTGTATGTAACAGTTGCAGTGTGTGTGTGAGTATTGCAGTGTATGTGTGTGTATGGGGCGGCAGTGTATGGGGGCAGTGTGTGTGTATCGGGTAGTGTATGTGTGTAGAGTGTGTGCATGGGGGGCAGTGTGTGTGTATGGGGGTAGTGTATGTGTGTAGAATGTGTGTATGGGG